TGAATGTTTCAAACTCGAATCTTATTGATGGAGAGAAGCTGATTTGTTTTTGGAAAATATCAGTCTACCCGTTTCGGAGCAAAGAGCGCAGGAAATAAAATTTAAGTTTTTGAGAGAACAGAGCATCCGATTTGAATGACATTCGTACTGATGGGGAGACTTGGTACAGACAGGTTCAGCCCTTTCGAAGATCTGAAGCTAAAAGTGCAACAGAGCATCCGATTTGAATGACATTCGTACTGATGGGGAGACTTGGTACAGACAGGTTCAGCCCTTTCGAAGATCTGAAGCTAAAAGTGCAAAACTGGCAGTTTTTTGAGAGAAACAAGCATCCGATTTGAATTATTCAAAAAAACATTTCACTTGTAATGGCGAAATAAATTTAACTTAAATAATAATTAAAATTAAACTTAAATAATAATTAAATTAAAATAATAATTAAATTTAATAAATTAAATAAATTCATTAAACTTTTGCGAAGACAGGTCCAGCGGTTTAGAGGTTGCAGGATAAAAATTTTAAACTTGACTTTAAAATTGACACTTGGTGGTCAAAAATGATCATTACATATCATTATTGATTTATATAGGAATGAACTTATTGATACACGGGTAGGCAAGTACAGGTGCACTGGTAGACAGGTAGAAAAGTAAACATATAAAAATATGAAAAGTAGGCAAGTAGAAAGATATATAAGTAAACAAGTAGAAATATGGACAGGTAGACAGGCCTACGAGCAGACTGGTAGAAAATAGAAATATAGTAAGTAAACAAGTAGAAAGATAGTATAGCAAGCAGGCAGGTAGAAACGTGGACATGTAGGACAGTAGGCAGCTAGGCTGATGAACAGATATGCAGGTAGAGTGGTAGTCAGGAAATGGGTAGATAGGTAAACTAGCAGATTTGTAGACTGACAGACAGGTGAATGGGTGCACAGATAAATAGTTAAACAAGCAGATGGATGGATACGTACACAGATGAATTAATTCTTGATTTTTTTTTGTTACAATTTATTTTTGTTAATCAAGACTTTAATGTCTTATTTACAAAATTGATATGAGCAAAAAAAAAAAAAAATACAAAAACTGCAATAAATTGAATATAAAACGAAAAAAAGTTAAAATAAAAATAAAATAAAAACAGTGATATAAAAATAAAAACATAAATGAACTATGACGTGATGATGTACGTCAGGGCGCGTGCAGACATTGGGCTAGGTGTTTGGTAGATCGGAAGGCCATTTCTTGCTCAATCTTCTTAACGGTCTGTGAATCGCTTGAATAGTAGATTTGTATGCTGGATTAATTTATTATTAAAAGATAAACTTCTAATCTTGATCATTTCGTTGACTGTTGAGATTTTCAAATCCTTATGTATGCAAAAGTTCGAAATATACCAAGGCGCATTAGTAAGGATACGCAGATTATGTTAGATTTGCAAGAGCAACCCCATAGTTCGATTCCATAAGTCCAAATGGGCACTATGATAGTTTTGTACAGAAGTACCTTGTCATCTCTCTATATTTGCGGATGGTGCAATATAATTAAATTGGATCATTTTAATAATTATTAGCAGACTATATATATAGTATAGCGATGCATTACCCAAGCCTTAGCACGGTAACGGTATTTCCACTTTCCTTATATGCGGATTTTTCGCACATGTGCGGCCGTCCGATGCGATTATTCCGCGTTCGGCTTGAAATCTCGACGCGTTGGGTTCTCGACTCGCGTTACCAAATGCGGCTGCGAGTTTTTCGATTCGAACGATTTAATAAATAAACCGACAGCAACAAGCGTGCTTGTCATAGAGTTCTTTCGTTATCGCTTTGGATTTATATCGCCATCGTCGGGATACCAGCCACCGCAGCGATGCATACGTTTTGCACTTTTTACCTTATTAAATCATGATCCGAAATATTTTGAAACGGTTGCGATTCTCACGCTTGATTAATATGTAAGTGTTGGTTTGAAATTATTTCTGTAATAAACGGGTTAATGAATAACAAAGTCTTTTGTTAAAAATATATAAATTATGTAATGGTAATTATATAATTCTATTGAGCTTGTTTAATTAAGTGTTTGATTTATTTAATGCACATATTTTAAAATTGCCGACAGTCATATCAGCACACTTCGACTAACTCCTTTTTTTGAAAGAATTTAAAACTTTTCCGAATAATAAAGATTGGCATTATTAAACGACGATTTTTTTCTCACTGAATAATAAGTCATTTATTACAGAAGCCATTTCGATTAACTCCATTTAGTAATGTACATGTTACGGCTGTGCCGGATTTCGAAATTTAGTAAAAATATGAATCATATGTTTTATGGCTACAAACTGTAGGGTCTCGTGGTTTCAAGAAAATTCACCTTGTTGGATATAGGGCATCGAGGCTTAAGCTGCAGACTTCGAAAAATTAACATATTTGAAACCGTGTACAAGGCAAAACTGGAATGTCAAAACTATCTGAAGTTTACTGATACTTGTGCAAAATATATAAATAAGAGCCGAGTTAATTCAAATAAAATATTTGGTAAGTGGACTAGTGGAAGTAATAATTACCAATGACTCAGATTTTGCCATTATTGAGGTACGTGCAAAAAAACAAAGCATTTTTAATTATATATTTCAATTTATATAACTTTTTTTTTATTTTTATAAGCAATATATATTACTTCATCACTTTTCTCCACATTTTTTTAGACTTAGTCGAGGTGTGCACTGAACGGCTCATATATTATTTCAGTTTTTTGAGCAAAAAGTATTAAGTATTTCTTTATGAGAACGTAAAAAATCAATCACAAAGTTTTTTTTATCTTGTATAAAGATGTCTCTTATACTCTTTTCTCTTTGCAGGAAAACTTTTTATCTGATAATCAAATAAAAGCTTTCATTCGATTCTTATTTAAATATTTACTTAACAAGATATAAAATCCAAATGATTTCAATTCATTTTTTGTATTGTCTTATTGAAGATTTTTATGTCATCCCTTTCAACGAGAACGAGTATTACGAGTATGTTTTTGTTTTACCAATAATATTGTGTTTCCGAGTGCAAAGTGTTTGTTCATTAAAATCATTAACTTTGTGAAACGTATACATTTTCAATTATTTCTATAAAGAATCGAATACTTAATTTGCAGTATAAGCGTTTATGTTTCCTTTTACGTACAAAGTATATACACGGCGAGTTTAACATAGAGCAGTTAGTATGTATACATTTCTTTCATTTCACGCCGGTTCGTTTTTATTAAAAAGTTTTCCCCGATTGCTTGTAAAGTGCTTCTGGGCTACACGTTAATGGCGAGTCTGTGTTGTGTGCAAGCAGCGAAAAACGAAGGAGTATGAGGTTATATTTCATATCCATTTCGTAATATCACCAATTGTGCGCAGCCATGGAAGGAAATTTAATTGAAACTGATGCATCCGTGCGGAATATTGCTTCGAATTCAGTTTCGATATTAAAAATATTATGTGTGTAGGCTGGATTTTGAATGGCCCACTAATCATCCACCGGAAGACCTCTTGCTAATCTATTCCTATAGTGTAATCTGTTTATTTTCGAATACTTAACGTTTATGAACTTAACCCTAAAAGTGTTAGTATTTTTTCAATATATTGATAAAAATTAATTGACATATATGTGTATATATAACTACGTGCTTGAAGTCTTAAATTCGGTTTATGAATAGCAGTTTATTAAAATAATATGAAATATATGTATGTTTGGCTATAAGTCATAGGCAAGTCATTTTATATATAAAATCCCACAAGACACATATCGCCCCTTTGGGAAATTAAATTGAATATGTGATAATAAATATATATATAGATATGTCAAGAATATGTACGTCGTGTATATATATATATATATATATATATATTTCTAATAAAATTTAAGGGGCGGGCAACTCACAGGATCAAGTCTTTGAGCTTAAAAGTTTTTACGAATTTAGCTTTTATATTCTATTCAATATTAATCTAAAACGAGTAATGCTTTCAATCCGAAAGGATTTTATAGGTCCTTATACCGTATCCGTTTAATCTCATACAATCTGATTTAGGAATAATTTTACTAAAGCTACCTTTAGACTAATGGCTATAATATGCTAATGAAGAATAGTCGTTAACCTATAGCATTTCTGCTTCTGTATACGTATAATCCGTTTGTAGCAATTGCAAAAGATAGCATCGTTGGCTAAGTAATTGTTTTCAACAGTATTTTGCACTTGAATATTCATTATAAATTACAAATTACTTTCGTTAGCACTATACATATATGTAGTTGATTAAGTATGTATTAAAGTCGCACATATAAATATCGCAATTAAGTTTTAACTCAGGTGCAATTTTATAGTTATAATACTTTTCACTACTTGTTATGATACATAATAATACTTTACCTAAATATGATACATAAGGATAAACATAATTACTATTTATATTATACAATAATATTTATTACTTTCTAATGTTAAATATAACTTATATGTTACATTAATTATACTGTCAACTCCGCTAAGTAATATATGTATTCTTTGTTTGTATAATTGGAAAAAAATTTATGCTGTCATGTACATAAAATATATTATTTTATTATTTATATATTATAAAAACCATATTTTAATGCTTTAATATGCACCATAAGGTGAATACTTCTATTCGTTAACAATTATTTGCATTTGTGTACGTGAAAGTTTTTGATACGTTATTGTATGCATGTATGAAAAACTAATTCTTGATAAAAGCATTAAGTGCACATAACGAAAAAATGTTTCCATCTAGCTCGACGATATATTTCCTCTCCACATCAAATCGATACATATATTACTTTATAACGGTAAGTGATTTTGATTAATTGATACAGTACTGTTATTGATTAATGTATGCTAATATGCGAATGACTACTGGGTTTAGGTTACAGCGGTTAGTAGTTAGTGCCACAATTCCATACAGCGGGAGGATGGTAATGAATGAATAGGGCACTTACTTACCCCTGGCAGCACCCGGACCGCTGTTCGGCCCCGGCTCCGGGTCTGCCGCCATCGACTGCGTGTGGATCACCCGTGGGATCTCTGCAAAAAGGGAAACACAATTAAATACGCATTAATAACAATAACACAACACGATGTGGCGCGTTTGTCTGCCTTTTATCTTCCCAGCATTAATACGTCGACAGAAATGAAAATAAAAAAATGTTGAAATAAAAGAGATACGCACAAACACACCAACCAACTACGCTCATCATATAAATCTAATTAGAATCTCCCCCGTCGCCGCAGCGTTGAAAGCAATATCGCGTTGCATACCGCATGCGCTTTTTGAATTATTTTTGCAGTAAGGTGTGTACAGTTATTATTAAATATTGTGCGTTTTTATGGTAGCGTTATCACTTGTCTACCGCTGGGAACAAACAATGTAAATTTGTATTATGATGTATAAATTTTATAACTTTTGTTTCCATTCAGTAAAACTGTATATTAATGCCATAATTTTTATGCGAAATACGATAAAAATCTATAGTAGAAAAATTTGTTGTGCGTAGCACATAAAAACTCATCTCTAAAAATTTTATTTACATTGTATCTTAAATTTAATTCAGTTAATATTGTTGGTGCAATTAATGTTATTTTAAAAGGTGCTGCATAATGTTTATATTAATTTATGTATTATATTTATATTAGTTTTTATTTATATACTCAAAAACACATTTAGCAGTTTTTTAATGCACTCTGTTAGTCATTTTAAAGTAGTCATTTAAAGTTAATAATTTTTAAGTAATATATAAATGCGTCAACTTATAAATCGACAAGCTACAGTGTTATGGTAAATACGTTTTTAATTTTTATGCAGTTAAGTTACAAATGCACGAAGGAAGCAACAGATGCCTACACCATCAATGAAAACAGTAATCGGATGGTTGATATCCTTGAAAGCGTATCATATATGTCGTTTTGAACTATTCAAAGAAAATTGTATTTTTAACGCAAAATGCATTACAAAAAATAAATGTTAATTACTTTATAAATTGTTTTTATTATTTAACTACTAGTTAATACAGCTGAGGTTTTGTTGTTATGAAAATTAACAAATTTTTTTGAATTGATAAATTTAAGGGTTGATTTTGCAACATTTTGTTTATATCTTCTGTTCTTTGCGTAAAGTTAAAACTGATTTTAATTTAAATAATAATTTTGGTGATGCAGGCATCTTAAAGCGTAATCATAAATATTATGTATTCTGTGTCAGAAGTTTTTGATTCCAATAGATTAAGGTGACTATATGTCCCGGTTTGGCCAGGACATTCCCGGATTTTTTCATTTTGTGTCCCAGATTTTTCCAAAAGCAATATTCCCGGATTTAGATATTTTGTCCTGGATTGTCCCGGGCTTTCGAAAAGTATAGGTTTAAATTGAATATAATTAAAACTGCTCATCGAGTTTCAGAAAATGATATATACAACGAGTATGATTATATGAAATATTACGCCATGAATGACAAAAATTGCCGAAATCAAAGTTCCAAACGGCGGCTAAAATAGACTTTAAATAATTTTGAACTTTCATTTTTAATTTTACCAAAATTAGCGTAAGTTATGATTTCGAACTTTTTGATTGCTTGGAATGAGTGCTAATTTTTATGAAGTTAATTGTGAAGAAAATTGAACATAAAAGACTTAGAAGCGAGAAACTCATAGAACGACAAATATAGGTCATAATGTAACATACAATCATAATTTAAAAAAATAGATTCATTTAAAAAATATTTATTATAATTTTCTTAAATAGTATTTGTTATTTTAAATCATATATAAGATATTTAGATGAAAGACTCCTCCTCCCGTCCCGGATTAGCTTAAGGGGGTTGTTCTTTTTTTTATTACAAAAAAATGCAAGGTATTTGTTTTTGTTTTTTCTCGAAAAGTATTTATCATAGAGACATGCGGTTTTTTTTAAACAAAAATTACAAAATCATAGAATATTAAGAAATTTTTTATTTTTTTTTCGCCGTCATTTTTTAACCAGGGGGCGCCAAAGTGGGCATTGCAAAATCGATCTATTTTGCGGTGCCACAGATAAATCCGTTGCGCATCGCGTGAAACAAAAAAAAAGAAACTACGTTGAAGATGGAGTCTGAATCCAGTCCCCCTACCAAAATGAAAGAAAAAAAGCAAGCAGGAAAAAAATGGCAGCTATTTAAAAAAAAGTGTTTAAAAGGCAGCTGTTTAAAAAAAGGGCCTTTTTTTCGGACGAGAAGCTTCGCAAATTTTTTTTGCGTAATGTTATGAAGTTGTTTGGGGTATTGCAGTGGGACTAGGTATTGCAGTGGTGAACAAATTAAAAAAAAATGCTAGTCTATCCGGCTTGTAGTTTTTTTTTTAATTTGTGGCACCACATTTAAAAAAGTCATTTTGAGAAAAACGTATTCAAAGTTTTTAATATAATGTACTAAATACACCATTTAATTTAATGTACTAAATACACCATGGTGTTCAAAGATGCTGACACATTAAAAAGGTCATGTGCATGAGGTATTATAATGAAAAAGAGAGCAGCTGGCATACAATAGCTCGCGGAGCGATGAAAAAACGGTTTCAGAGGATCATACATATATATATATATATATATATATATATATATATATATATATATATATATATATATTTATAACTTCGTCAAAAAAATAGATATTGAGATGATTTTTTTTTTAAAATAATTCTAAGGTTTTTAGCTTTCATAATATCAAAAAATCTCAATATCGAAAAAATAAAAATAAAAACCGAACAACCCCCTTAACTGCAAGTTGCCGGAAAAAATATGGTCACCTTAAGCAAGATGTACTTTAGTCTAATAATCCATGTTGGAAAAACTTCAGCATTTGTAACAAATCTAATTCATACTATATACTACGCAGAGCAGGTTCAAACAACACAATATTAGTAAGACAGACAGTGAGTGACAAGGATCGATCGTCGCACATATTGTGGACGGCCGGGTTGAAAACTACTATTTTTATTAGGACGTTGGGGATCGCACAGCACCCGGAGCACGCTTTCTTATTTTTTTGTTTTACGCATCACCCTCTGATCGCGACGGCGCGGTCGTGGTACGTGGACGGTAGACGAACGGTGTTGTTCCCCTGGATCCTTGCATTGGCGGTGGCCTAGCGGCGTACTCACTGATGCAAGGTGCGATGTGCGAGCGACTCTGCTGGTATCCTTTCGCGCAGCGGTTGCAGGTTATGCCGGTCACGCCGTCCTTGCAAGGACACTGGCCCGACGTCTGGTTGCACGTCTTCCCCGAAGCGCCAATTGGATGACAATCGCATGCTGCAATAAAAAAAAATCATTAGTTGTAATCAACTTCAAGGCATTGCTGCCGCAGGGGTCTTTTGCTAACCCTTTATGCGTTACATCAATCGAAATGCGTAAATGGAACATTTTGTTACGGGCTATTCATATTTTATGGGCACTGATAATAATTTTTGAAAATTATTGCAGCTATCAAAAAAAAATCATGCTTCTAAGCATGTATTATAATTTGAACAAGTTACAATGCTTTCTCTACATGCATTATAATATAATTAATTTATACGATATTTAGACAGATGTCAATTTCTGTAATTATATAAACATGCAGTGTATCTGAATTTAAATAACGAAAATGACAAACATTTTAGAATGATATATTTATAGACTAATTTCAAATGGCATTTATTCATATGAGTAGAGCGGGAACAATGGTCCAATTTGACTTTGAGCAATTATATTATGAAAACTAAACCAAATATATTGCAACAAAACATATCGAACAGTGAACTATCTGTCTATGTACAATAAAACTTTCAGATAATTCATTATTATACACATGCGTTTTCTTGCATGTTTTTTTTAAAAAGAAACCTGGTTCTTTTTACCCCTAAGGCTGGGTAACATGGGACAGCCAGAGGGAAAATAAGTCTAATGTCTTATTTTCAGTTTTAAAGGGATTTCACAAAATGATAGCTACATAATTCAATCAAGAGAACACTGCATATAATCTTGACATTTTGTCAGAAAGAATCATCAGCAGAGTTGGAATAACTATTTATTTAACTTATCTCTTGCAAAATTGCTTTTTTTAACTTAATTTATTTTTTTATTTACTATTTCTTATTATTTACATCTTTGCCAGGGTAAAGGCTCGGATGGTCTTTTTGACTCCCACCCGGATGTAAGCTAACTTACATCTTAATCTAACTTAAATTAATACCAATAATTAAATAACGTACATTTAAAAATTATATTAAGTTCGTAAATTAAACAACAGTGCAAACAAATAAGAAAACTAACAACGAAAGGAAATACTTTTATTATAGATTTTCAAACAGTGCCGTTTATCTTCTGATAGCGACATCACCGGAATCAAGGTGATGGTTGGTTATACATTTTTTTCCTCTACTTGTTTTTGAGATATCGGTGGTGCACATTTTTACGGACCTTTAAGCCCCGCTCTATCCTATATGCAAGCAGGCCTCAAAATAATGATCTCAGAATATAATATTATAATCTTGGGGCAACTTTCACGTCATTATTATCATTATAATAATCAGAACTTTACGTAAATTGAGCACTGAAGCGCGATTAACACATCTTTGCTTCAGGCTCTCGCGTTCTAATCGAAGTTATAGTATACTACTTATGACATAAGTACTTCCTTGGTACCGATATTTATAGGTATAATACTTAGACGTGTTATTGCTAAATATTGGTATCAGCTAAATGAATTTATGGTAATTTTCAATCACTGCTCCATTCTAAACGATATAATTTTCTTTACAGTGGAATTTCTATATCGTTAATTTGAAATCTTGAACGAGTAATACCACTACATTTAATAAAAGTTGGTAAATACGTAACAGTTAAACTGTGAAAGAAAATTAGATATTTCTTTGAATGTGGTTGGACATTGAATCAATTCGTTAAATGACGGTGACAACTGTACTTTTGATATTATTGATTATTTGCCATATATAATATTTGTTCTATTCTTGAAAATTCAGTATGAAATAGCAAATAATATACAAATAAAAGCTAAATAGTGTTAAAAATAAATGACGTGATACATTCAAAAAAGCGTTTTCAACAAAGTCGGTAATGAAGAGTTATGAAATCAATAAATCTTGTGTTATTTACACACAGAAATTCGAAAAAAATATTCCAATTCCTCGCGCTCGCGGCCGATTTATGTTTCCCGCGTTTCGTTTGGTAAGAATCATTCACAAACAAGAAATATTTCCTCGGGAGATTAAATCCTTCGCAATAAATACAGAAGCATGACATATGTCAGTTGGCGAGCGTGTATTTTAAATGAATTCATTGCTCTTGGTTTTATGTGTTTTAACAATAAACTTAAATATTTTGTATATAAAACATATTGTAGATATAAATTTAAACATAGAAATTTTTTATTGCTTTTGAGGAAAATCTTACATTGTCGTCATGTTATGATCGCGCAGAGGGCAAATTTCAGCGTCTCTTTGCGAGTTTTTGACCTCATAAAGCAAACTATAATACTCTCTGGCATGATCATTATAATTCACTTACTTACTTACTTAAAGTAATAAATTGCGCGTGGAATCATATAAAGTTTCTATAAATACGTTTTCAAATCGACGTAACGGTTGTCTCAACGTGCTTATCAATATCCAGTTTGATATTAATAACATATGGATGATATTTTAATGGACTTATGCATTTGTCTCGAATGAGAATCATCACAGAACAAATAATGTGTCAACGGGCGCATAAATTCTTCCATTGTAACGGCGACTTTTTGACGGCTGACATTTTCATTTTTTCGCTTTGTTAAATCCCTTCATTATGCAGAGCGAAAACTCGCATAATAATGGTTTCAGATCTAACCTACTAACATTCTGGAGTCATTATGAATCATCGCGTTGAGAATTGATATAGTAAATGCCGTTTAACGCCGTAACCTTTTTAATCCATCGTACATAAACAACAATATCTGTAACACTGTATCAGATTGCGTTGGCATTTCTTGCTTATTCATGCATATACTAATCAATAATAGTTAAGATTGAGATTTACTTGAATTATTAATTGATGGCCCTCAGTATAACATTATTATATAAAACAAGTTTTTCATTTTACGTTAGTTTTTTTTTTAATTTTATATTTATTTTTTTAGACTGTCCATATAAGGAAATTATTCCAATAAGTATCAGCTTTACTGATTTTGGTAAAACTGCGAAGTTTTTATTGTAATAACTACATATATATCATAAATTAAACGGGCAAGATCTAATAGTTCAGCATCTTGATATAAATAGAAAAAGGTAATGTTAACCGCCATTGGCTTGATAACTGTTTCAATAAGAAGCGTAAGCTTACGTGATCTATTCGAAAACTACAAAAATCATTTGCATACACGGTAGATCGCAGTTTTATCACATTTAAGACTCTTTTGCTCCAAATGTGTAAGATTTGTGAAATGTCGAGACAATTTAGGAATACTTCCTTGGCGACTTTACTCAATTTTTTTTCCGAGATACGATAAAATTGATCTCTCTAATTTTGACGCAATTATTGAAAAATATTGAACTGTGTTTTAACAAAATCTTTTTAATTTAGTAAATAGGCACTTGAGAATAGATTATCAATGAGTTCGATTTACGGCTAGCTGAATATTTTACAATCGTTAGTAATGAACTGTGAAAACGCGAGCTATCAAACTCTTCTTACGTGTTACTAACAGTTCACATCACCCCGTTTCAAAAGTTTCTTATTGAATGAATTATTGACAGTCGTCTCAGAATAAAATAGCGCATCCCTCGAATAAATAAGGATCACATACTTGTCAGAGTTTATGTTCGACTGTTTGTACGGTTTTCTGCCGTTCCGTCAAAACTTTTTCTCTCGGGAACTACTGAAAATGCTGTATCGAAAATGACATTCGAACCTTGGTAAGAAGTATATGTTCATTATACCCCAACTCGAATATGAACATTTTACAATGGGATTAAGCCTTTAACACAGAATTGACTTGGAGGATCAGTATGGAGTATATGGAGCATATGTTCATGTTTAAGTGTGATGAGTAACATGTTTATTGAAAAAGTAATTTTAGTATAAAAAAAAACTTGACTACATATGCGAAGTGAGTGTTTAGTTCCCTAATTACTACACATTTGAATACATTTTGTGATTTGAAAACTATCGTTTTTATATTCGAATGAACTTATATAATTTGTTTAAATTAAATTAACTAAGAGTAGAATTAATGTTGATCAATTTCGATTCCATATTTCTCGCGCTTTATAAGTTCAATGCAGAATGATTAATACTAATATTTATGATTTATTATTAATAAATAGTAACTAGTAACTAATGAAAAAACTTTTTGAACAATAAAATACGAGGATGTTGTAGAAATTGCTGAAAAAATTTAAATATATGTATTGGTAAAAGGCTCGTAGAAAATATTGCATAAACTAATAAATTTATTGATTTCACTAATATATAACAACGCTATGTTATGGTCTATTTTACCTGAGAATTGCCCCCTTAGTTTATATATTTTTAAATTTAGTTTATTTATTATTTATTGATTTCTCATATAAAAATTCAAACATGGTTTTCTTAATAGGGGGAAGTTCCGTAACGCCGGACGGCACACTGCACCTGACACTATGTTTAGCACGCATTATTTAAGCGAATATAATTTTTTTCATTTCAAAATACAAGTGAAAGGGGCATTGGTGGCACAAAGGTACAGGATCACGTGCCAAGTCTCGCCTGTGACGCACACGGCCACGGCGGAGGAACCCTTTCCTGTTTTAGGCGCAAAATCACGGCGTCACCTAAATATCAATGAAAGTAATTCTAGCATATTTATGCATTTACATTTGAGTGGTATGCAAAGATAAAAGTTCTACTTGATTGTTATCCGTAAAATGGTAGAATATTATTAGATCTTTTAACCAATTTTAGTAGGTGCCACCAAATGAACGAAAATGTGTGTCTCTTAGCACCGGACACTAAGTCGTCCTTTAGTGCCGGACAGTAAACATTAATATTTCTTGTGAGCATTTACGTAATTTATTCTAATTATTTAATTTTGTTCTGTATGAGTGCTAACGGTCACTACATACCTCAATTTTTCGTATTTCCTAGTCAAAGAATGAAAAGCTTATGAGAGCATCGGTGTGGCCCAGCCAAAATGGTGGGTGATGATGACAGTGACTGTTTTTATGCAATATCTAAGAATATTCGTCAAAGACACATGTGCAGACATTCCAGAGTGTGTAAATGGCTACATTTGTGAT